TACTGAGTTAACCTATATTCTGGGTAGCATGAGTATCAGGCTCTCCGGGAGAGGGGAAAGAGAGAGCCGGCTTCCTTCCCTTCTCTCCCACTCCCCCTCGGAAGACCTGATACTCAGGCTATATTCCGGGTGGATTAATGAGCGTGGAATATACTGTCGCTAATCCGCTAAATCGGAAATCTCTATTGCACTTTACGGCCTATGCAGCCTACTACATCAGGCGTTGCTGTTATGTTTATGCTCGGTGGATCTGCAATAAAAGCATAATTTCATACGGTCAATTCTCAATGTTTGGATATATATATGTTGGAGATAAAACAAAACAAAAAAAAAAAAAACACTTCGTTTGTACGATAAAAAGCTAGTACTGCTTTAGAACAATTGAGTATCAGCAATACCACCACCCCCCCAAACAATAACAATTACAAATATACGAAAACACACACTAAGTTAAAGAAACAAATAAACAAACAGATAAACAAACAATAAAGTCAATTACCTAATCAATAAATTTAGCTAATTATTGAAATGAATTAAACGACTGTAATAGGGAGGAAAGAGAAAAATGTTTTTTTTTCATGACTTTCGAGAAAGTGTACTTCGAATGTTTGCCCAGTTATCGAAGTACACCATCAATAATTCAAAACGTTGGTAGTGTTTGTGTATAGAAAAGAGAAGAAAACGATTCAAAACTAGTTATAGGTTTATTGCAACAATATGAAAAAGTTATAAGAATATATGAGAAATGGCTATGTAAAAATGTAAAAATGCAAGAAGCTAAGAACAAGGTTATATGAAAATATTAATGAATTGTAAGTAGTATTTCAATTGAGGCTCTACAAATTTCTATCAATTTCTAATTTAAGATACCACTTTCTAAGTAAACACGAAATTGAAGCTAACACGAAAGGATGATGTGAGATTAAACTGCTTTTTCAGGTTGGAATGTAAGGTATTGATGGTTTTCACAACCGCAATGTTTAATGTATTTAGCAAAATATTCTGAATAGTCTCTTTTGTTATATCATCCGCCAAAATTGACGAAATGACATTCCTTGTTTCATTCTCTTGGGAATGATTGAAAACAAACAATTTTGGGGTTCTATTCTCATGTTAGCCACAACTTCTAGATAATTTCAGTTAAATGGTTTTCCTAAGTACTATAAAAGCAAAATTCTTATTACAATGTATTATAATATATATTTTTTGGTCTTTAATGATTACAATCACCAAAGCTGGCTGAAGACCGTGAAAATACCCATATCAAAGAATTACAATGTTTGTAGATTAATTTTCTGCTGTTTGGGGTGTTACTTTCAATAGGAATCAGTACGAGTTCTACATAGATATAACATTGGTATCGTGGACTGTACTCCAGTCTTCACGCTTTACCCAGAATCATTTTCAACCAGCTTTGCAAAAAATGAGTTACTGAACATTTTAGTTACAAATATGAAAGCTTATTTTTCAATTTTTAAATCAGCAAATTTTCTTGGTCAGATATTGAGAAGTTTTGGAAATATGTAAGTCATGGTTGCTTCTAGGCTTATGGTAGTCAGTGGAATGGCAAGGTAGAAGGTCTCGTACTTGTATTACTTCAAGGTTTTCTTATTTAGCACGTTAATGTTTTAACGAAAATCAGTGACATTTCATTACTGTTTAAAAGGTACTGAGAAAACACAGAATATTGTTTATTTATTGATAATACGCTCTACAAAGTGACTGGAATATGATTTTACAAGAGGAGTACAATTGAATCGCAAATTGTACTCTGTAGAGTCCGAATTGAGTTGTTGAGTTTTCTTAACTTTCAATATATCACTCGTACCTATAAATTCCGAATTGTACTCGAAGTCGTGCGATTTCCTATACAAATTTACTAAGCTAAAAAACTATGTTTTCGTTCCTGAAATATAACCTGCTATTGTTGCCACTTAATTCCTATCTGAAAGTTAGAGTTAGTGAGAGCGATTGCTAAGTCTTGTGCCAGAAGTGCAGGGGTTGGTGGTTCGATTCTTTTGAAAGTTAAAATGCCCGATTGATCTTGGCATATTCCTGTTTAGAAAGAAAACTTTTACAACTGCTTTGAAACATGACAACGATATAAAGACGTGGATAAACTACAATTATTGCAAGCATAGTTATGCGTATAATTTTTTTTTTATACTTCAAAAATATATTCTCTCAATATTCGAAAATATTCTAGTCAATTGGGTGAATTATAAAGCATACTTGTATCTATATTTCGAAATATAAAATACTCTATTTTCATTTGATACTCTGAGTTATAAATCCTCTCTTTTCGTGTGAAATTAGTAAATCGTAGTCATAATCTGTGGAATGAAATAACCTAATTGAGACATGGCTATCGTTATAATCAACCAAAAAATGGCGGCTACGACGTCAAGTGCTTTTTGTCATTTTGGCAGCTCTCTAGAAAGCGAGGAAATTGTTTATTTATTTATCTATTTTTTTTCATTTTTTTATTCAGATCTTGTAAAAAAAACTATAAAGCTGTTATTTTCACTATAAATTAAACTTTTGTAGCATTTATAAACGCTTAATACAAATCTAGTTTATTCAATTGAAAGTAGCAATTTGGAAAAAATAATTATATTGCATTGCAATTCATAATAAATATATATCAACGGAATATCTATTTTTACAAAAAAAACAAAAAAAAACAAAAACAATAGAAAACAAACCTCTTAGCAAAGTTGTAAAACAAAGAGTCATAATTAGCAATTACTACGCTCTAGTTTTCGGCTAAAAGAACTGTGACGGTAATTATCTTACGAAACATAATAGTCCAGTTTCGAGTTCCAAATATACCATTTGCATTATGGCGTCATTTACTACCACTACCAGACTCCATTGCACACTGTCTTTTGTTCTGTTAATTACCACCAATTGTCTCACTATTCCCATGAGGAACTACAAATTTGAATAAGAAAGAAAATTCACGAAGCATTTTGGTAGTGGTAGTAAAATGACGCCATAATGCAAATGCCCTATTACCGCTATGTTTCTTGATTACAGACTCGTTAGCCTGTAAATGAGTCTGTAATCAAGAAACACAGCGGTAATTTGGAACTCGAAAAGGTTTTATTGCAATATGTTGAGCAATGCTACTCATTACTGCAATTTCCACAAATATGCGAACTTTGTGTCTCCAAGTTGCACGTTGAAATTTGGTTTTCGCTGCCGCCAAATATGAAAGGTACCGTGCAGCTCGCAGACAGAGTTCGCATAATTATGAAAATTTCAGTGAAATGTCTAATTCAAATGAAAGTTAATACATATCAAACAAAATATCAAACTAATTAATAAGCAGCTACAGAATGTAGGATACGAGAGAACCAATGAGGTTTAGGTTCATTCAACTAACAGACATCTTTCCAATGATTTCAGATGGCTTTCTTAAATAGCATGGTAGTTACATGCCCTGGATGTTAGTGAAATTTTTTGATGGTTGGAAGTTGGCGTAAGTAGGTTCCGGTTCGTCCTGTTTCTGGAACTGTGTGATGTCAGCATAGTCAGTTCCAGTGTATGTTATTGGACGAGGTGCTTCTGCTGCTTCACCGGGGGAGTTGAAGTCAGCAAGTTCTGCATAGATAATTTCTCCAGGACGCTAAAAGATGAAAAAAGCAAGGTAAATCATGGTTAGTAACCATTCCAGAATAAAGGGGGTACTAGGTCGAGTTGGTATTAAAGTGCATTGTGGGATGTTTAAGGGGACAAAACAGCCGTGATCTTTGAAATATGTATCCTAAAACTGTCCCGCAATGCACTGTTATGCCAGCTCGACCAAGTTTTTTCATCCCCCCGGAACGACTAATAGTCTCCATGTTTTACAAGTTCTCATTAACGCGCGTAGGATCGTAGTCGCGACATAAAATAACTTTTGGTGGAGATCACATAAAGCATTCCCATCACCTTGTCGGAAAACACAGCACCCCAAGGGCACATGTATTTCTATGGCCAGTTATGAAAACGTCACATCCCCCAAAACCTACTTGTCATTTACATTAGCGAAACGATTCCGCGTGTGCTAAAGAAGTGTAGAACTGCTTGTTATGCTGTGTCGTGTTAGTGTAAAGAGAAACTTTCTCGTCCAATCCAACTTTTAAACGTTTCAATGAGGACAAGTTGCCTCGACTTTGTTGTGCGAACTACATGGGGTTCTCGAATTCATTATTAATTCATGATTTCAACAACAATTTAGAACATTATATTGGTTCAGGTGGATGAGTCTTGAGACCGAAAAAAAAGAAAATTGTAGAAACTTCATACCGGAGTACATAGGAAGGTAAATATAGGCGATCTTGATACCCAATCATGCAGATTGAAGGGAGAGGAAGACAAAGATCCCGTGTGATCCCTCTCCTTCCCAGGCATCCATGCGTCTCTGGGACCAGGGTAAATTTCTATTCCTAATCTTTAAAATATCGATCGTAATTTCCTTTTGACTTAGAGTGCATGGGCTCTTCTGGCATCCCAAGCGCATCTAGTATTCCTTGTTGGTTTTCAATTCAAACTTTATATTATGAGGGGACCAATGGTATGCAACCCTAGTGACAGGAACATTTGTAAAAAATTGAAACGATTTGAAAGAAAAGTTTTTCAAAATTAGTTTTTCGATGCATAGAAACGGGAGCACTCGAAAACTTTAGTGTGTTTATTTATTTATAATCAATATTTATACAGGCACATCCTATTTAGCATCAGCTAGTTTAAAAGAAGGCGGGGGATGAAAAAATGCAAATATATAGCTAAGTCTTTGTGATGTACCTTCTTTTTGCTCTTGTCAACAACAGCATAGTCTGCTATTTCATTTTGTGCTTCCTTCTTCTTCTTTTTCTTAGACACATCTACTGCTGCATACGTTGGTATGCCATCATCTACACCACCAAGACTAGCAGCAGCTCCTTGTTGGGTTACACTGTCAGGGTCGATATCATTATGATATGAGGCTCTAATAAACATATTGATACAAACTAAATTTGCGAATGCTATGGAAGTACCATGAAAAGACACCCAAGAGTACAATTTCAAAATTGTATGAAATTTAGTGTCTTAGACGATACACTCCAAAAATTGTCTTCTATAAGTGCTTATGATAAGCATGCTATTGCTACGCACAACAGGTGGATATCAGTGTTGAGCCTATTGTTGTTCTCCTGCTATTACTTGGTATCAACAATTTAAAAATCAGCCTACAGAGCCATTTTGCTCAATCATACCAGGAAGTCTTCTCGGTACTTTTACTGGGTAAACAACATTGAATGAGTATTAAGTTTATGAATGTTCTCAGTGAGTCATCTTACCTATCGCTTCTTGTGCTCTTCGTTGAACCTGTGATTAAAAAAAACCCAGAAACAGTCAGGGTATTGCATAAGGAATGTTCTATTTGCACATCCACTGAATTTTCTTTTCTTTTCTTAGTTTGCTTCCCCAACAATTTTTACTTTGTTTAGCATTATAAGTTTGTGTTGTATGTGTGTTTTGATGTTGTTTTTTCGTTTAACTTATTTGTTTCGTATTGCTCACGGTTCTCTTCTAAAAACTCTTTTTTTTCTCTCCTTCTTCTTCTTCGATTAATTTTAACCTATTACATATTTGTTTTTTGATATTATCAAATCATTACAAGCATACTTTTCTAAATAAGCCGTATTATTAGCTTGGTTGTACAACACTGGCGGATCCAGGAATTTTAAAATCGGGGTTCCAAAATGGGTCCCAAAATGGCCGTCAGGTAGAAAAAAGCTGGTAAGATTGGCTTTACAAAGGGGTGCTCCGATTTCATTCTACTGAGAGTAAAGAAGATCATTCGCTTCACATGGCACCCACGGAATCACCCTAATGTTATATAAACGTCCAATTGTCAAGCCATATTAACATTGCAGGAAAGAATGCAGTGGTAGCGTTGTGGAGCGAAGCTTCATGGAAGACCCTGGTACGAAGAGTGGTGATCGTTAAATATGTTAAACATATATATACTTCAACAGCTTACCTCTACCAAGTAAGTTCTTCTTCCTCAGAATAATAATAATAATGACCACAGCTATTAAAAAAAATACTGCAGCACCAACAGCGCCAGCTATCACAACAGGACTGCCCTTGTTATCTCCATAACCTTTACGTTCATCTCTATTTGGACCTGATTGAAAAACATGAAGGATCCATTAAATAAATGTAAATCTACGCCAAGCTTGACTCACTAATTAAGCGCAAAGAATAGAATTTTCTTCCCTTTAATTTCGTTAGTATGTACGTTTCTTAGCTGAGAGGGTGAGAAACGCCCGCTCGAAACGCGAGATTAAACCTATAGCATCATAGCATCAAGCTTTAGTAAGGAAAAATGAACTAAGAGAAGGAATTCCCCCTATATAGCCTTGTAACCATTAGGTGCACAGTTTTTCCGTTATTTCGACTCTGCTCTGAATGTGAATGTACACGTCAAAAGCTTGGCAAATACGACAGGAAATTGAAGTAGTAATTTGTTCAACTTTCTGGAGTATTGTTACATTTATTTTCAAAAGCTTTCGACCTACATCGTCATTTTGAGAAAACGTTAGCAAACAGCGTAGAGCGCGCGTGTACTCTGCCCGTGCAGAAAATCTAACGATCAATTAAATGATATCATTGGATGATATTTTAAAAATAGATTCTAAAAATAGCATCAAAGTGTGCACATGATGGGGCACGGGAATTCCTTCTCTTAGCTCATATTCTCTTGGTTTTAGGGCTTAATTGGAGGTGTTTGTTTGTTTGTTGTTGCTGTTGTTTTCTTTCTTTCAGATATGTTGGGTTAATTCGTTCGTTTGTTGTTTTCTTTTTTTTTTTCCAGATATGCCAGAGCGTTTGCTCACTTTCCTTAGTCAATCAATCGGGTTAAGTTGTTGTACTAAGTCTAATTGCTTGTTATTTATGGTATGTCAAACGCCATGTTGACCTGTACTCACCAGGTTCTGTGGTAGGTGACGGAGTTGAAGGCATTGGTGAAATATACGCTTTTTTACCATTATCATCTCCTACTTCACTTTCTCCATACTCGTTCGTTGCCGTGACAATAAACCTGTACGTCTGACCAGGCTCCAGACCCTTCACGTGTATAACATACGTCAAGTTGGTCAAGTCACGGACGACATGTATGCTTGCCCAGCGTTTTTCTACACCTTGTTTCTGATAGATGGTATAATTTTTAAGTTCACCGCCATTATCGTCTGGTTTTGTCCATAATAAAGTTATTGTCGTTGTACTTTTGATAAGACGAAAACTGGGCAATGGTGATGGACCTAAATAATACACAAATAAAGTTTGTTTAAACATTTTTTTGTTGTTGTTTTGTTTGCATTTACTTCTTTTATATCTTTGTCTGTGCGATGTTTAGGTAGAATCGATTAATATTCAATTATCGTAAAATTAAATGTTCATTTTTTCTCATTCTTTCGTTTAAAGCCTATGAATAAGATAGTTACATACTGGTACATATGATAACGAGACGATGTGGTGACACAAGGAGCAAGAATATCAAATAAACTATATCAATAAAAGTTTCTTACCTCTTTTCTTTGTGGTAAAGATGAGGTTTGATGCATTTCCATAACCAACAGCATTCCTTGTGTAGACTCTGACTTCATACCTTGTATTCTTAGTCAGACCAGTCAACTCATGCTCGGTATTTGATGTGTTGTGTTCTTGTGGTGGGTTTGTGTTTATTTGTACTTTGTAATCAATAACAGGACTTCCACCATCATAACCAGGTTTGGCCCATCTTACAGTTACTGATGATGCTTGGATATCCTGGTCTAGTATCGTGACATTAGGGGCACCTGGGGGGACTGACGACAACAGGTTATCATAGTGATTGTAATATACCAACTATTAAAGAGCATTTTTATCGTTCTCTGATTGGGCAAGACTTGGCAACGGCTTTCAGCAGGCAACAATAACAACAACAACAACAACAACAAAGTGATTTTTTCAGAAAAGTAGGTTTTTCGAAATCAAATAATCAAAAACTTGGTACTTGGCATACAGCAAAACACTTATTGACTTGAACCAGTCAATAAGTGTTAAATAGCTTATTAGCATAATTTTAGACTTGAATACAGAGTTTATCCAGCTGTGATTGGTCGAGCGACTGGTGATTCTGAGACGATAATCATCGCTGGAATGGTGATTATGAGGTTTTCCAGAAGGTAAGTAATTTTAAAACGTCTTTTTATATCCTGAATTTTGACTTTTCTCTGATATTCAAGGCTTAAATTATACTAAGACAATCATCTCCCTCAGGCTCAGTGATTATGGTGAATATTTACCTCGCCGCTTGAAGACTCTCGTGTGGGTAAATATTCCACCAATAATCAACCTTTGTCGAATAATTGTTAATTTTAATAATGATGATGGAATAACATTAATTAATCACATAAGAAAAGAAAATATTTGGAATAATTCTACAAGTATTGATGAAACCTCTCTTCAACCACATTTGGAAGAGAGGTAGATGATTTTAGACGCATAAACTAGCTTTACGAAACCTGGGCTATTTTAGACACTCTAAAACTTATCTCAGCAAAATGTAAAATATTTTTTTTATAAATCATAGTACTTACACAACTGAGTCACATTGATAAGATGTTCAACACTTCCTGCGATGTTTGTTGCTTTACATTTATATGATCCATAGTCTGCACCATCTATCGTTGTTATCACCACTTGACTACCTTTAGCAATAGATGTGACACCAGTTGTTATTTCCTGACCACTGGGCTTGTACCACGTGATATCTGGTGTGGGTAATCCATCACTGACAATACACTTGAGAGTCACCTGTCTGCCATTCCAGGAAGTACTATTACTGCTAGACAGCTCTTTTGAAATTGTCGGCTTGTCTAAAAAAGAATCACAAAATGATAATAAATCAGCATATTAAAAGTGCAAAATTTATGGAATGCTGATTTTCAACCCCTGTTGTCTAACTTAGTAGGAGTAAGTTTTTATGTTGACTGTGTGAAATAAGCTTTCAAAAAAAAAAAAAATGCAAGATAAAGTCAAAAAGATATAACAAACATTATGAATTTGCAAAAATAGGAGTGTAAATTATAAAGGCAGTGATCAAAACTGGTGACCCTTAAAATAGTAAATAAGCACTAAACAAACAAAATTAGACCAAAATGTTAATATTTTATTCCATCATTAAAAAAAAAAGTTTGAGCATAATCAACATACACTTTCAATTTGACTTTTTTTGTGAAGGCGTACTGTACATCATCTACAATTACCATTAATTATTTAGGCCATCAAATTTGACACGGAACTCTTAAACATATATAATATTAGGGAAGTTAAAACATGACAGATAGGTTACTAAATTCCAAAAAGGCATGGAAAAACACAAAGCAAGTTTCCTACAGCTGTGCTCAACTACGTTATGTCCTCTAAAACCTCAACACAAGACAGCACAAAAGTAATACTTTACCCAAATCCACCCTATGCAAAAATGGCCACCAATTATACTTCCAGAATAAATAAAAAAGATAGACAAATGAACAATAAATATAACTATCAGAGAGAGCAAAGAAAGGTGTATTTTCAAAATTTTCTTTCTGATCAACAGAATTTGAATGAATTTATTTGGGGAAATACTGAGATTTGTATTTACTAGCCTTATGCTAGCATTTAAACGTTTTAAAAGAAAATCTTATAAATTCTCCATCTTTTTTTGATGTCATCCCATACTATAATTTGTATGCATTGCTCAAATAAAACATTAATTCAAAATAAAATCTGATAAAGTGGCAGCCACATTTGCATTAGGTCTATGTTATTAGCTTAAACTCATATTGCACTACAACGGATATATTTTTCTTGGCACTCCCTATTTGGTTACTAGCAGTGCACGTGTATGTCCCTGCACCAGATCTCTCAACTGACGTGATGTTATACTCATTTCCTCTAGTGACAGGAGGTGCATCTGGTGACTTGGTCCACGTGATGTTTGGTGATGGATAACCATCTGCTTTACATGTCAGATGAATAGGGTTTGTTTCATTGATAATCTGGTCTTTTGTCCAGTACACTATAGATGGTCGATCTAAGAAAGATAAAATGCAAATACTTTGTTTTAGCTTTATTGACACACTGTACATATTGATTTAATATATTATTATGAAAATATTTTAGTTGATATTGCCCTTCGTTTGAATAGGCTGTTTTTTAAAGAAGATTTTTTTTTTTAATTGCTCATTGGCAGTTGATTCTATTATTATAAGCTTTTTAAAATGTACTACTACCCACAATACCTACAATACTTATTACCTTAAATACACAGGTGATTATTGGAAATCTCGTGCGCCGATTGGTTGAGAAACTCACCTCCAGCGATAATCCAAAATGGCGGCCAACCGCTTTGTTGCTGTTACCGGGAAAAAAATGTGTCTTTTATCTTCTTCTTCTTCTTTTTTTTTTAAAGAATCACCTGTGTATTTATACTAAAACAATTGTTCACCTCAGGCTCAGTGAATATCGGGAATAATGACTTCAACTTGGTTTCGGTTATTATTTCCCGATATTCATTCCGCCTTCGGCTAATAATTGTTAATTAATAACCTTACCAAATAGGGCTGAATTTAGCTTTACATGTAGCTTACTTAACATAAAAAGTGTAGCCTAAGTACGCATAATGATAGTATAAACTTAACAAGTTATAAAATACGTAGGTCTAAATAATCATGATAGTAGAATACTCACATCTGACTGTTACGTAAACATATGCTTTAACCTGGTGTTGATCAGTTCCATAAAAATTATTTGCTGTACAAGTATAATTGTCAGTATCGTTTCTTGTTGCTCTAGGAATACTCAAACTACCACCATGTTGCAAAAAGCCTCCTTTCTTTGACCAAGTGATATTTGGCTTAGGACATCCAGATGCCAAGCAATGTAATTCTATCACGCCACCTTCATTAATAGTCTTATCACCACTATAATGTGTTATTTTTGGTGGATCTAAATGAAAGAAAACAGAAACCATAAATTCCATTGACTAATAGGCATAATAAATAATTATGTAACTATTAATAATGTACCGGTAGCATCATTACCTTAATGTGAAGTATGGTGGTCAAAATAATAACACAACAAAAAAATCCTTGAATTATGCCATCCTTTCTTCTTTCCTCAAAACTGATTTCTTCCTCCATTTACACAAATATAACTCATAGAAACAATGATTTTGCTTGAAAATGCCATTACCAAAATACATATATAAGCAAAGGCAAAGAAATAGAGTATGGAAGAAAGGAAGGATAAACAAAAAGAGGGAAGAAAGCAAAACAAAAACCAAAAAACAAAAACAAAAAACCAATACAACAGCAACAACAAATCCAACAACAAAAACAAAACAAAAATATATAAATGAAAGGAGGTATATGGTTTCTATGTGAGGATCAAACCTTCAGGAAACCAATGTTATGCAGGTACCCCAAAGATCTGTTTTCAGGGTTTGTGCCGAGGTACCCACTTTAAATTCAAGGACTATTCAAGGAGTATTCAAAGACCCAGTACAGTACTGAGTGTAAATTTCCCTAATATTAATTATTTAAGTCGACTAAGATCCAGTGTGAACCCTTTATTATGTTAAACACAGTTTTGGACCGTGCCAGTCTCTTTGCTTGGTCCATTGATGTTCCATGAGCAGCTGTCCAATCTTTAGCCACAGGTATCTGTAGTATTTCTTACTTGGCTTTTCAAACAGGACCTCCTGATAACAGTGCTGTCAGCTCTGCATACATTCATGTTTGATGACACATTCTATTGTTTCTTATATTTTTTAAGATATTGTTTTTTGGAGGTATAGGCATATTATTCATATAGTAGTTGAATCTTATCTGTTCCATCCGCATGGGTAACATAGCAAACATAATCAACCAACATAACAAGGAAATAATCAACAACCACTTGACCCCCCCTTCTGAACAGATGCAACTGCAGAAATACAGAACAAATGACCACTCGACAACTACTGCATTTCAACCAGCCCTATATACAAAGCATGCGTAATGACAGATAACAACAAAGTGAAAAACTAAACAACAACACACGCAACACAATTTATCATTAGGAACAGAACATACGCAAACAGCACTGAACTCTCAATATGCTACATCTGGAAACTAAAAGACGACAAGAGAAATTAGAAGATCAACTGGTCAATTATAGCCTCGGCAAGTCCATCGGAATTAATTTATAATGCCGCCACGAGAACAAGCACTACTTAATGAACACCTAAAGCAAATCCAGAGAGCCGCAATAGTTACATTTAACGATACAAAATTATACGAAATATATATATGGTTGCCTGTGTACTGTATATAGGTCACCAAAGTAAGTCACTTTCTTCATTAAAATCTGTCTGATGAATTAAGATTTGATCTTTTTGCGGATGACACTAATTTACTTTATGCAAATGAAAGATAGCATAAAATATTCAAAGAATGTAGAGGATCTCAGCGTGCCCCCCCCTGTTATTTACTATTTGTGGATGGTGTTAGATTGCAAATGTAACTTTTATGTAAAATGAAAAGAAAAAGAAAAGACAAAGAGAATTTTCAAAATGCAAACAAGTTGGTATGGATTCCAAAACCGTCAATACAATGCTAAAAATAATGGCCATTTCAAATAGCACTAAATTGTCCTTTTGGGCCAGTCTTGTTGACTGCATGGTGACATGTTTGGCCATTTGCAGCTGTTATTTTTCGCCCTTTATAATAAACGATTAAACATGCAGCCTCAATGATCTACAAGTCAATAGCCCATTAGGCAGAAATATGAATGGGCTTTTGACTCTGATGAGAGTGAGAGGTTTAAATATTTTAGTAGAGTTTTAGATTGACTTTTTTTCTCCCTACAAACAATAAAAGTGACCAAGTTTTCATCGTTTTCCACTACCTTACTTAACCTTTAACAAACCTTCTCACCAAAGACAAATGTTCTTTTGTTTTTCTACTACTTGGACTCTTTTTTGATTCTATTAAAGCTATTTAAAATAATTTTTAAATGGTCAACTGACGTTTTCGGTTGCCGTGAACTTAAGTCTAAAACTCTCTAGTAAAAACTTACCAGCCCCTAATATTTGAAATAAATGGATAAAAGAATTGGAATTAGGATTGAAATAGATAGCTACAGTAGTCACCATTGTTTCGGTGTTCAAAACTGGCGCTTTTTTTTTTTTTTGCTACCAGGGGTCGAATTAACTACAGCTGTAATAGACTGCTAGTATAGCTTAGCCAACCAGGGTGAAGGATTTGTGACGGAACATTATTATATTTAAACTAATTAGCATCTTATTTGTGTGACTGTGTATGTGTGTGGATTGGAAGGTGGAGAAAGGGTTTATAGTGAGCCATGATGCAAAGGAGGGTATTAATGTAATGTGACGTTAAATCTTGTTGGTACATTTTATAAAACCTGTTGGCATTAAAAATTTATATGATGGTAATGGTTAAAACCCTAACAACCTTGCTCACCTACCATTGGAGTTCCCAATAGCTTAGTGGTTAGATCCTCTGAATAGAACATGGAAGGTCGTGGGTTGAATTCCCCTGAGCTTTGAAGCTCAAAAAATTTTCTGAATTTTCATTCTCTTCAGTGAACACATTTTCTTCATACTTGCTATGGTTATTTGTGGTAAATGTATAGTCTGTTGCAGTACTTAACTTATAACCAATTTAGTGTTACCAACTACCTGGGTACACCCTACACCATATAGCTTATTGTTATTTGTTATAGGTTTTAGTTATTTGAGAGTACAATCCACTGACTAATCCTTTCATCATCCTTAAAACTATATAATCATATACTCACAGTTGACCGTCACCTTTGTCCTTTTAGTGGCTGCAGTCTCGTTTGGGTTGTTGTTGGCCCTACACTCATATACTCCAGCATGGTATCGTTTAATGTTATCTATCTGCAGTACAGCACTTCCTGATCCATGGCTCTTGGGATGAACACTATCATCTGATATATTCACCCACGTGATGGTTGGTGTTGGTGGACCAATAGCTGTACAGTTTATCTTTAAATCCTTTCCCTCGATAATCTGGTATGTGTTGTTTGGGTGACTTGGTAAGAATGTAGGACGCACTAAAATAATGTTTTAGGAGTAAGTTTATAAGTTATTTACTAAACTCAACTATTTCATTAAACGATCACAACTGTAAAGTTGACTAAAATCCCTAAAAGGAATTAACGAACAGAGTTGGGTTTGTGGTTGGTGCTGGGATGAAATAAAAGATAATAACAAAGAAAAAATAAAGAAAAAATATAGAAAATTAAGAGGCTTTAAGAAAAAGGAAACAAATAAAGAAAAAGAAAAAAGTGAGAAAAAGAAAAAAAAAGATAAAGATTAAAGAAAATGATTTTTAGTATAAATAATCAAGAAAGTCCAATGAAATAAAATATATCCCTGTTTTTGAGTAAAATAATAATCAGAAACAAAGGTGTCATTACAGCCATTCTTGGAATGACGTTTATCTGACCTTTCACTCATAAAATATTGCTAATTGTTTTTGACTACATGTATACGGCCTCGTTAATTCGACACGAAAGCCTCGAAACAAGTTATTGTTTATTGCACGCATAAGGGGTCCGAATACGCAAAGTAAAAGAGTTTTTTCGGAAGAGGAAAAACTCTGGAGGTGTGAAAAAGAAAGGCAAAGGCGGAGGAATGTCACCAAAGAAAAGCGACAAGCAGAGAGAGAGAGAGAGAGAAAATGCAAATCCAGTCTGGACTTCGATTATGAACAAGGAGAACATGATCGTGAAAGAAAAAGGAAAATGAGGCAAAAAATATGAGGCGAGCTGGAACTTTGGAGAAACAGTTTTGATACATTAATAATCACTCACCGAAATATTTACATTTCGTGTCATATACACTTAAACAATGTCAAGGTGATGAACTTTTTCAGTTGCATTAATACTGATGATCATAATTCGATAATTCCAGTACATCTCGGCATGCCAATAATAATTACAACAAAGTTGGACACATGGAAAAGGGTTCTTAAAGCTCCATTTAGTCTCCCCCACAGCCGCTTTCATAGAGTCATTTAACGGTATTTGGTGTGTCACGGAGGGGAAAATGAGAGATTTTCATTTCTTGTATCTCTGGAACAATAGTATTTCTTACTATAGTATCTTTATCATATCACAGATACCTACTAGTACTACAGCTACATTAAGAGTAGACAAATATTAAAACTTTTATATATTTTCAAAGCAAAAAATGTGAAGTGTTACGGAAGGGAACAGAAAAAACGCCATTTTTGAATTTCATTTTTAGATTGAAAACTCTCTGAAGTTGTTAAAACCCATTAAATTGATAACCAATACAAAAGGAATGCTAAGATGTAAGAAGGCTAAAATAAACATGACAAAGGAAAAAATATATATACATGCATAATTATATATATATATATAACAAAGCATGCAATGTGGTCTATACTGATGAAACAGTGCTTGATGCGTAGGGATGCAGAGCAATATATATATAGTAAAGATTGGATTAAAGACGAGACATGTTCACTATAACTCCACAAAAACACAAAAGAAAAGAAGCTACGAGCTGAATGACCGACGCCGATGTCTTGGAGTTATGAATAAGAAAACTTTTGCCCTGTTCTTTTAGAATAAGATGACGTTCTGAAGCAAATAATTAATGTTCTGAGGCAAATCAAGAGTATTATGAATGCACATTCTTAATTTTTCGGCAAGTAGATCTAAGTAAATATAAAAAATCTTTATATCGTTACATGGAATTCAAAAGGCAATCAGATTTTTGCAGAACATCAATAGCTGTTATATTGAAACTTCAAATTTAAGATGTTATTCTATCAGTCATCTACCACAGAGATTCCATGAGATAACTACCCATGAGCACGACTGGTCACTTACTACACTACGCTACGCTTCCCCATCTTGCATGGCTGGTTAACCATAGCGGACTGAATCTGTTCCAGTCTTGACCATCCGCTCATCCACGACCAAGATTTAAGGATTTATGCAACCTATGTGTCTACAAGAACATTTTTACGAGGCTTTGCATGGCAAAGCTAGTTGGCAAAAGTTGGAAATCTTCATTTTCATGATGGCCTCGCACTCGGCGCTGCTTGAGGACCTTGAGAATGCCATTGGTACAAACTCTGGAAGCGACCCCATGCCAGTGTCGGGGAAAACACTGGAGGATATTTCTATGGAGAATACCTCTAATGCTTCAAGGGGGGCGAGAAAGGAGCCTCATCAAACAGCTCGAAGGACAAGAAGCCCTCAAAATTGATCACAGTCATCGATAATGAATTGACCACGAGGTTTAAAGGATTTGACGAGCTCAACCACAAAATTGATCAACTAACGAATGTTGTCCATGGTTTTGCCTCAGTTATAGAGGAACTGAAAAAGGCATACGATTCTGCTTTGAGAGAGGACTCTGAGGAGAGCAAAATTGAGGATGAAAATGACGCCGAAGGGGAGCCCCCGCGGCAAAAACGAGAAAGCCTGACTCTACATCTAAGTCCATTGATGGCTTGGTAGATGTCCTAGTACAAGAAGTCACTGAGGACGAACGAACTGACAAGCCACTCTGCAAAAACTACAAGAGTCCTTGATAAAAGGATTAATACCCATAGCTTATCTCACAGGAGCAATTGTGGAGACAGTGGAAAAGAAATCCACCATGCCAACTCCAGAAGAGCTTTGGGAGAGTCTGTCAAACTCTGCCCTTTTGATTGCTTCAGCTAATCATGATCTGAACTTGTGTCGTCGTGATATGTTGAAAGCTGACTTGGATAACAAGTATAAAACCATCTGTGGTAGTAAAGAACCAGTTGGTTCAGAGCTGTTTGAAGATGACTTAACTGCATGAAAAGCTGAAATCAGTCACAGAAAGCAAAAAGGCTGCTCAACAGCTTACAAACCCAAAACAGAGGGATGAAGAATCTTCCACCAGAGAATCAAATAGCTCTAGGGGAAATTTTTTATTCCGTCGCAGGGGGCGTTCCTATCAAGGCCGCTCCCAATCCAGAGGAAACTACCACTACAACTGTAGGGAAAGCAGAGGCTATAAGTCGGGACAGACCAAAAGAACAGCAAAACAACACTAACAGATTCACTTAATGTGAGTAATGAGGAAATGTTTTTGCCCCATTCCTCTGAGATGAGAATAGCAGGTAGAATACAACGTTTTATTACGAAATGGAGGGAGCTTACACAAGACTCCTTCATTCTATCTGCTGTCACACTGTCACAGGATACAAAATAGATTTTTAAGTCCAACCTGTGCAGTTTGTAAGAACTGGGCCAATCAGAATTTCAGATGAGGCAAAATGAATACTTCCTTACAAATTCCAAAGTTCTTGATAAAGGGATTATCGAAGAAAGCATCCAGGAGGATGGAGAGCTTATCTCAAATACCTCAAAGAAAGATGGATCTTACCCAATGATCCTAAACCTTAAAATGCTGAACAATTTTGTTGTCTTCCATCATTTTAAAATGGATTCAATCCATACCTGTGGAACTTTTTTTAATTGTCTGAAAAAAGACACCCTTTTTATCAGCTTTTGAATCGTATATGGAAAGTTAAAAAAGCCATCCCTTTTAATAGTTTTTGACTTTTTATATTGTGGGTTTAAAAAACAGTTGTACCTTTTTACTTGATTTCCTACATTTGTGGAAATGCTTAAAAAAGGTACCTTTTTTGGCTTTAAACTTTTGTGGCTGAAGACAGAAAACGAAAATAAATAGGGGAAAATTTTAAAAAGTATTAACCAAATACATAAAGCGAATTCCTGTGAATTTTTCAGTAATAAAAGTGAAAAAATAAAAATAAAGTGACCTCTTTTCCTGGGCTCCATTGATATACAACGGCGTACGAAAAAGTATGGAGTTTTTAAATTTTAGATGCTATTTTAGCGTATTTTAAAAATTCCGAAAACAAGCTAATTTAGTGAAATTCTTTGATCTGGATGTTGAAAATTTTGCGAAAGTAGACTTGCCACCATCTGTCACTGATGTTCCCTCCCTTCCTGGGGTAATGATTATGGGGAACTCTACTTTCGCCAACTATAAATCAAGGAAGCAATAGCAGTACCAAGCTATGAAAGAATGGAACAATCTGAGCATGACACACTTAAACAGTGTTCTAAGATTAGCCAATGTTTTAAATCGCATTTCTTTTATACTTGTAAACCTAAATAATTTGAACTTTTCATCTTTTACATTTTTACATCATAGTGATTTGACTTTTCAGTTACGAGCCATTTTCGATATTCAACCTCCAAATTCTCTTTTTACGTATCATTGCCAAAATATCTTATTTATCAGGGCCTTCTTGAAAATCACATTTATAGGTGAAGAAGCTCCCTGTTAAAATATGAATGTAAATAAATAAAGGCCAATTATTATAGCGCCTT